TAAACCAAGCTTTTAGCAGCTTGGAGACCAACTCCTTCAACCACTTGTTTCCATCCACCTTATTCACATTTACATGACCTAACGCCGGGCATACACTGTACGATTTTTTCAATCGTTGCACGCAGCTACAGCTAACGATGTGTGTTCTCACAATGTGCGGCCCGACGCTCTGATGCGATCTATCTGCTCACATCTATCCATCTGTACGTCGGACTCAGCTCTGCAGCGAGATGGAGCAACTCGGACTCGTCTATCCGGAAGCCAAACGAGTAGAAGAAGAATATGAAGCTCACTAGAGTGAAACCTTGCTAATTTGTGCAATTTTGTGCTGAAAGAAAGAAAAGGTCTAGGCAAACGTGGCTACTACAGTCTGTCAATTGTATGGAAAGAACTCCATTTCACCCACCATACTTCTCTTTTCGTCTTAGAGGAAGAAGAAGAAGAAACTGAGCTATTTGCCCACAACTGCCTTTACAAAGGCCAACTGAATTTTGAAACCTGTTTTATTTTCTCCCGACTTCAAGATTCCTGATTGGTAGGTGGTCGTAAGAGGCTGCCCCTCGTTTTACCCTGTAAACTACATGATCAGGTTGAAAGTCGACCCGATCAAAAAATTCTCGCACGACCAAAGAATCGGCCCGAAAATGGCAAAAAATCTTACACTTTGACACAGAGGTTGTTTTAATCAGACTGAACACCTTAAGTGTGAAAACATGTAAATACCTGAATTCCAGGAAGTTGAGGTAAATGCTTAGAGGGAAATGGTGAATGGAATTTTCTGAGTTTCTTAAGCAGAGAGGAAAAATAAAACAGGCTTTTACTTCCTGCTGTTTGAAGCTGGATTAAGTCACAACCTTTGATAGTGTGTTGATAGACAAAGCTACATGACAGTTGGTAACAAAGGAAACAATGTAAGAGGGACGGGAGCTTTACTCATCGCTTCAAACCTCCAGAGACTTGTTCAAAACTTAGATCTGCGCAGCAATCCCTGATCCCACGCTTTCCATCCCATGAGGCTCCATGCCTGTGCCGCACGTCCACAGAATGACTCTCATTATGCTTAAATTCATTTTGACGGCTGGTTCGCCGAAGCTGTTTTGAGAAATAAACAGCAATAGGAAACTTTTTGAACTGCTCAGAAATAGATGACTTCTGTCACTGGAAATTAAAGCTATGCAGAACAAGATAAGCTGCTAGGGAATCTTTGGGGCTGCTTAAAGCCTAAAACCAATCTGCAGGATGAAAGGATCAATTTTAGCTCTACAAACGAGTCTGAAAAGTCTGCATGCCTGATGTTTGGGGATTCTGCATGTTTGGTGAGACGGCAAAGATTTAAAAGAGGACAAGAGAAGCACTGATGCACAACAAAACAGTCCCAAGAATCAGTAATTAAGGCCTCATTAACCAGTTTGCAGAGCGGTGCAACAGAGCAGCAGAAATCGCTGATTGACCGCAGCCAAAACATGGAGCAGTATGGACCCGTTCAAAAACGAGCAAAGGCTTTCCACCTCAGCTATCATCCACAGAAACATAACTGTTATGGACCAATCATGGAGGGGCCCGCCTGGCCTTGGCAGCGGGTAAGTGTTATTGAACTTCTGAGGGAATTGGGACAGGTGGCTCAAACAAAGACGAGAGGAAGGGGGGCGGTTAAACGCAGGAGAAAGCTAAACTGCAGAAGCAAAACCAGATAGTTAGTGAAGCATAAAGTGATGGGTGCAGATAAGAGTCAAAAAATCAGCAGCGCTCAGTTAATTCAATCCTCCCTCCCCTCAGGCACGGCGAGGCTCTCATACACCCACAGTAACTGCATACACCTTAGCATTAAAAAAGGCAGAGCTGCATGCACACACATGCAGACGAAGCCACCCGTCAGCTTCGTGGCAGGCCGCCCTGCACTCGCCTGCAGATTGCATGCACCTTTAAACCGGGCAGGTTTAAAATAACGTCTACATGATGATCACTTCGGGGGAGACAACTCTACCCAAGTGGGAGGAGGGGGGAAACAATTGATCAGCAGCTCCTCACCTGGATGCAGACCGAACCGGCTTAAACAGGTTGAGGTCTTGGCACCTGCTGCTTTTGAACAACAGAGCCTCAGTACTAGGGGTGTAAATAATAATCGTTTTGTGTCGATGCATCGATCCAAAAGCCGACGATCCGATGCATCGACACGTCCGCAAGATAATCGATTCATGTTTTTTTTTTCCTCCGGTCTATTTTTATCCATTTGCTCCTGGGCGTAATTCTCCCTCCCGTGCTGCGGTGGCGCTAAACCTATTCTGCCCTCCTACCGCGCTTCCTGGTTATACTCTTACAGCAGTTTGTTGCAGCAAGCCTCACACAGACCTTTTTAAAATATGCTCAGTATTGAAGCGTGGTCTGAGCTACACACTGTGGGTCTAGATACGGCCGAGGCGGTGAGGAAGTGGGGGCGAGTTTAGTCCGACGACGAAAAAACATGAGGCCAAAAAGAGCTGAGATCCAGGTGGAAAAAGGGTCCCAGCGTTCTCGCGCACCTCGCTCTTCTGGCGGGTCAAACTTCACGAGTTGTTTTCCGCAATTTCGGTCATAAAAACAAAACAAGCCGGCCTCCTGTCTGGTGCACTGTTTGCGGTCAGCTACAATCTGGGAGAGGAGCAGCGGAGCGTCTCTCAAGGGGGCGGTGATGTCAACACTCTGAAGCCTTCTTCTTCTTCTTTTTTTTAATGGCGGTTGGCAAACAACTTATAGGTGCATTACCGCCACCTTCCAGAATGGAGTATGGACCAGACAAACTATTATATTCTCCCTAAAATACCCGTTCTTCTTAGAAAATTAAAAAATACTACCAAAAACTACATCCCCAGATGACCTTTGAAACAATTCCCTTATATCTAGTTTATTTTTATTCCTGTCTAACTCTCTAAGCAACATCTCTCTTTCCTGAGTATATTTATTACTAAAAAAATATGTTGGACAGTTTCTCTGGAGCCGAGGTATTGCATTGAACTCATTACACTGATATTGTGCAGTATTTTTGCAGTATTTTTTGATGCAACTTTTCTACTTCTGTTATTTGCTGTTGTTTCTCAATAAAATGCATAATGATATTACAGCTTTCATTGATTTATTTCAAACTTGAAACTTTGTTTAGCCTGTAAGGTGTAAAAAAAATAATAATAATAAAAAAAAAATAACAGATTAATCGATTAATCGAATCGAATCGTCGTGTATTCTTGAGTATCGAAAATAATCGAATCGTTGGGTCAGGAAATCGATACTGAATCGAATCGCCATGATGGATGTGATTTACACCCCTACTCAGTACCTGGGAAACCAGATAACGACGGCGGTAAAGAGCTCTCTGTGGCACTGCCTGAGTAAACAATGCATCCCCCCCCCCTCTTTTACAGGACACACACACCAGGAGAAAACCCCACACACACACTCCTTCTAGTAAGCTGGGCCCTATCAGGTTTTATGGCTTTGAAAGCGACTACTGTACATGCAGATGAACTTCTGGGCAAGTTTTCCAGGTGAGAGGAAAGAACCAAACTCAGCATCTGATCTAATAAACCAGTGAGTGTGTGTGAACTCCTCCTGCAGCCTGTAAACAGATCCCAGTCCAGAATCAGCATCTAAAGCCCTCCTCTATTATCCCCTGCAGCTCAGAGTCTCAGACACACCCTTCTTTTCTGGAGCACAGAGGAAAAGCTGATCTCTGGATATTTTCCTGGGATCATTTTTCGGACCTCTGTAGCAGTTGCTCTCCACACAGAGCGGTTGGTCAGAGGTTCAGTCAGAGGCGTTTAAGGAGGTGTAAACGCAACGAAGCTTTCAGCCAGTCGGACATACACACACACCCTGAACACACCCACTACTGCAGGCAAACAGGGATGCAAATAGGACACAAATGTGGCAGAGTATGATCAGGTAGAGGAGTGGATCCCTCTAAAGTAACTTTCCTATTCATTCAATTCAATTCAGTTTATTTATATAGCGCCGATTCACAACACATGTCATCTCAAGGCACTTTCCAGTTCACCAGATCATACAGTCAAACTGATTCAACGTTTTCTATCTAAGGAAAACCAGTTGATTGCATCGACTCACTGACTCAAATGCAATCCCTTACACTAAGCATGCTTGTAGCGACAGTGGAGAGGAAAAACTCCCTTTTAACAGTAAGAAACCTCTAGCAGAACCAGGCCATCTGCCGAGGCTGACTGGGGTTAATGATGCATTGCTTAAAAGTGAGGTGTCCCTTATTCTATGAAGTAAAGTTGCTTTTTGGTGCTGCAGAACCATAATCAGTGGAAATAGCTTGGAGATCACCATTGCATAGCCATGCAGCTCTGATTAAAAACACATATATGAGTTTTTCCGCCACAGATATGAAACAGAATTAGGTCAGGAACACACTGGAGGTGGAGGAGAAGCTGTTTAATGGACTTAAACGTAGCTTTTACATCCCAGAAGCTTTTTTGAAACAAGTTATCTGCTGCATTAGACGACTTTCTTAAAAATCTGAATTTTTTTAGCAATAATAGAGCATATCTAAGAGACTTATGGAGAACAAAAAGGGACCTTAAACTTTAGGAGTTCCCTTTAAATAGATCAGCCACAATAAAAACTCAATCATTCGTTCTTGGATTTAGAAGAAGCTGGTGTCGCCATTCCCAGCAGAACCTCACACCTCCAGTTTGTGACTTTGGCTTCCTGCCCGTTTCATCATGACAGCTCAGACTAAAACCAACAACCTGACTGACATCAGTGTAATCACTGGGTCTGTTGTTTTAAATAGATCTGAAACCACACTGACTGCCTCTCCTCCATAATAACCTGCTGTTTTGCTGCAGTTTCACAAACTCATCCTGCAGATCTGTTTTTATTTCCCCTCACCTGGTGAATGAGTTTCTCTACATGCATCAGAACATCCACCATTTTCCTTTTAAATTGGACTGAAGGTTTAGGTGCAGCTTCACAAGCTCTGCATTTTTTTTTCTCCATCAACTCACCTGGAAGATGATGACTTTAAAGTGGTTCCTCTTCAGCAGGTGGCTGTGGTTGGCCTCCAGCTTCTTCACCTGCACCGCCTGTCTGTCCAGACGCTCCTTCACCTCCTTCACGTTGCAGTTGACTTTGCGGGAGCGCTCCAGCAGCTTGCTCACGCTGTTGGCGGTGCTGAGGTGGGCCTTGGTCAGCCGGGTCACGTCGCCCTGCACCACCCGGACGGCGCCCTCCAGGTCGGCCTGCCGCTGCTCCATCCTCTGCTGGTTTTCCTGCACCGCCCCCATCATGTTCATCAGCTTGTCCAGCAGCGCCACCACCGTGATGGCGCTCACCTGGCCGGGGGCGGATGGGGAGGAGGCCGCCGTGGGGCTGGTGGGGCTCTTCGGGCCGTGCCGGTTCAGGGTCCCGGTGGGAGTCGGGGAGCAGGGGGCGGAGGACGGGCTGATGTGGAGCTCCGAGTTCTCGGGCTGCAGCTGTGGGATGGTGTGGGTGCTGCCAGCGATGCTGACGGACAAGCTGCCGGGCTCTGCGTGGGACCCTTCTTCTTCCATGGCGCACAGGTGATCGGATGGATGGGTAGGGGGGGGGGGGGTCTTTCACCTGAACTCAATCAGTTCCTCTGTCAGGAGGCGCAGCAGCTGGAAGTCGCTGTCAGTCTGTCAGCTCCTGAAGGCGGACTGAGCAGCTCCTGGCAGTGGGTTCGGCCTCCACGCCCCTTTCTGACACGCACAAACACGCCGTGAACTTTCCAAACACCTCCCCTGCGGGCCAAAGGGAGGGGCCGCGTTGCTATGGGTAACGTGCAGGCCTGGCCCTGCTGGCTGCAGAGGGAGGGCGTTTGGACCGACTGCTGGGAGCTTTTTGGGATCCTGATGCTTTGGCTCAGCTCACCTTAGAAGAACCGGTTCTTTCTACTTTAAAACGTTCTTTCAGTCAGGATCCCCTTCTACACTCTGTGGTTTTCTAACACAAGGCAGTCTAAAGGGAATTTAACAATAATAAAAAGTAATATATAATGACCCATCTTGATTAGAACATCAATACATTGGAGGTCTTCAACAGGGGGTCCACAAAGGCACTGCCTGGGGTCACAAAAGTTTTGGTTGATTAGACTTTATTTATATTCCCCCTGCATTTTTTTTTCCACTAATAGAAATGTCTTTAAAGACACTGTAGTAGTGATTGTTTGCTAAGCCAAACATCCAATTAAAGTTCCTTTAAGCCACTACTAAGGCACTGGGGTCAAGTTTCTATCGGTCTCCGCCAGTCACGTGACTTTTGTTGCTAAGACGCCATTTTAGGTGGAAAAGGCGTAGTGTACCGCGCCCGAGGTAAACAATTGACGTCACTTGGCGGAGACCGATACAAAGGCAAAACAAAGGTTCAATGTTCAGTCTTGAGGATGGTTTATTTTCTATTTTTGCCAACAATTAAAGAGTACAAATCTCTTATCTTGCACTGGTAAAAACCATGGGCCCCAAACCCAAAAATCCTGCTGGTCCTTTCCCAGGCCCCTACACTTATAGAAAGTGGACTGATCCACATCACTTACAAAGATAAATAAAATCAACAATTATTAACCTGCAAATAAACTCTGTAAATAATACAAAAAATATATATTTAGGAATTAACACAATTCAAATGTGTAAAGAAATAAAGAATGCATAGCTCCAACAGACACTTTAACATGAATTCAACACACTGTAGTAAACAGATAAATGGAGGCAGAAGATGTCTTTCAGTCATCAATGCACACATTCAGCGACACACAGGAGCTCTTTCAAGCTGGGCACCGTTTCATTCACAACACCTGTCCCATCAACCAGGAATCAGAAATACTTTAATAATTCCAGGGAGAAATTACTTTCGTTACATTACTCCATATGTAATAGAAAGACTATAGGACCAGTTTGATAGAACACAATTTCATACTATGGATATATAATTAGGCGTCGTCGCTCCATGTTGCCATCAGTTTGGGGGTCCTTGGCCTGGAAAATGTTGAAGACGTTGGGTAGTTCAGTTTATAACCAAAAACTGTGGTTGAAAGGTAAAAACAAACAAAAAAAAAAAGCTCCAGAAAGAAAACTGCAGATCTATGAATATGGTTTTACATCTCAGAAATCATCTGGAATCAGCTAATTTCACAGTGCAAGAATAAAGTTTATTAAAAGAGAGCATTCAAATGCATCTGCTAAGTAAGGTTACCCTAAAAGGAGACTGTAAGATGATAAAAGAAGTCTCAAAAAGGCCTAAAATATTAGAGTTAAGAGAGAAAAAACTAAAAAGTTCCTATAAGTGAGCTGGCTCATCCAGCCAGCTCGGTCTGCGTCGGCACATGGCTACAATGAGTGAGCAGCAGCGCTCTTCCTTGTATTCCTGCTCTGTGTCCATTCCACATTGAGCATGCCTGGCTGCATCTGTTAAATAAAAGTGATGGCTACCTTTGTTTACAGCGCTGGCCGCTGTGCTTTCGCATCAGGCCAAACTGTCCCTGATGTCCTAAAAAAATAAAATAGTTGTTTCTGCTTTACGGCAGCAAACTCAGCCCTCTCGTCCACAATGTTTCTTCTAATATTCAACACCTGGTGTATTTCTGCTCCTCCTCCACCAGGCTTATATGATAGTGTATCCGTGCGCGTGTTTGTGCACTTATTTTCCTCCCTGCTCTTGTTTTTGAGTTCTGTACCATGGCATGGAAATGTTGAAATCCCTGTTTCAACAATGAGCTCATCTGCATGCTGGCGTTCTGCCCTTCTCCCGGTTCTCTCTCTCTCTCTCAATCTTCCTCTCTGTCACTGTAAATCTTTTATTCATAGTAAGGAGATCACATGCTTTAAGCTCAAATAAAACAGGAATGTTTCGCAATCACAGTGAGTGGAAGTCATAGCATATTGTACGGCAGCAGATAAGGCGTGTTTTTATCTGAAGAATTAATTTTCTCACAGAAACAAAACAATACATCTGAACTTTGATTATGTTATCAGTGCATACCAGCACTGAAGCCGACATCAATGTGGGATAGGACTGGTTAAATCTAAAGGAGCATTGTCTCTGCTAATATCAATATATTCACACCCATAAAGTTGGATTAAGCTTCCCGTTAAGTGTTGGTTTAAAACACGCAAGGCAGCCACGCCTTAGGAATAGAGTGAAAATTACTGTGAGAGGCCTCAATCCTCCTTAGAAACAAACCTGAGAGTAAAGCAAAGATTTTACTTCCTTAAACCAAATTAAGGATTATTTTGTTTGGTTGTTTTGATTGGGAGAACTTTACTGGCATTTTGAAATTACAGCACTCTCATCCGGCTTTGGTATTCGGGATTTAAACACAACATATTTTATTTCTCTACAGGATTTTGTTTTTAATAGGTTATTATTTCTATGTATTTATCAGTATTTTAAAATTCCAGACCCCCGATTTTACTGCTTATACTCCAGACAAGGTCATACTCCTGTACAAGGACATTAGCTCACCATTTTACACCCTAATCCAACAGAGACTAATCTGGATATTTGTCTCATTCTGATTAAAAAGCATTTAATGTGTCAGAATCCAGCACTTTTTTGACAAAGAGGCCTCGGTATGTTCATGTCGAACCTCAGGGTCTCCACAAGGCTTTGTTCTTAGTAGAGTTACACAGATACTGTACTGATTCCAGTATTGGGCGGGACCCTGATTCAGCACTAAAATGGTGGTATCGGTATCAGCGAGTAGCGACAAATTTGACAGCCAAAAGTTTATTCAACTATTGTCACCCATTCCAGGTAGGCCAGGGCTCGATGTTAACCATTACCTGATCGCCCAGGGCAAGTAGTTTTTATTGTCGGGGGAGTACAAATTTCATTGCATTTGCCCGCCGGGCAAGTGCAATGATAAAAAAATAAAATAAAAAATTTTATCACTCAAAATTACTTTTAAATCACAGACACTCACTTAAAAAAGGACCCACATGCGTTGCCGGAGCCATTTTTGTTGTTTTGTACACATTCTCGCGTGATTTGAAAAAGCTGCGTGATTTGAAAAAGCCGCGAGATTTTCTAACCTGACTCCGCCAGATGGAAACCTTCCGTTGAAGTAATTTTGGGAAGGGGCGAAAATACTGGGTAGCTGATTGGCCTATGTTGGTGATAGACGGGCCAAATAGATCAACGAAGCATATGACATACTAACAGAGCACCGGCAAAAACACAACCACAAGCCAGGCTACTCTTGCCGAAACCAGTCGGGAGAAGAGCAAAAACATCTTTTCCTCTGAGAAAAGCATCTAGAGCAGTGTTTTGCTCTTCTTTCAGTGAAGAAATACTCTGTAATTCCGATAAAACTTGCTCGATAGCCACGCTAACGTTAGTTTCATTGGCTGAAGCCGCCATGTTCTTTAGACTGAACTGTCGCACTTCTTGTTGCGTCACACCTCAACCCGCCTCAAAGCAAACGCTGATTGGACGTTCGTTTGGTGAACGGCTCCAACTTTTCTTTAACGGAGAGTTTGTCGACTGATCTGCGAGTGAAACATTGAAAACTCGCGAGATCAGGATGGTCTCACGGGGCTAGAGATTTTCCGCTAAATGGCGTGATTTTTGTCCGGGAATTGGCGCGAATCAGACACACCCACCACCCAGATAACCCTAGATTAAAAATCGGTCAGGTATTAGGAAAATTGGCATAATTGTATGCCATGCGCACAGTGTAAATATGGCTATCTTGAGGCAGTCTTTTGTACAGTGATTCAGGTCATACATTAAAAAAAGTTCATAAAGTTTTTTTCTCCTAGAAATTGGAGAGGTGCATTTAAATTTTATAGAGCTAAACAAGTTAAATTGGTGACCTGTTATGTTATTGTCTTATTGCTACATTTATTTGGAAAACTAATCCATAGTCAGTTAAAAGTCAGGGAAATCTGAAATTATGTAAGACTGTGTATAAAATAACTATGTTTAATGATTCTCTAGAAAAGTCACAATATATTAAAAGTATCATCTTGTATAAGCATACCGTTACTCTAAAATAAAAGTTATTAATTTGTGACATTGACTTCTGTCTTGTGATTTAGCTTAAATTTTTAACCTGTCAAGTTTTTTTTTAGACTTTTAACATTAGAATTTATATTTTTCCAAGCACACAACAGTTTAAAGCAAAGTTTAGTTTGAAAAGAATGTGCAGGAAGGATTGAAAAGCATGTTAACGCGGTAATGTAGGCTTGAGTTCATTATCTGAGGCATGCATATACACCAGGAACCTGGAAACTTAAAACATACTGAATTGCAAAAAACATTTTAAAAACAAACATGTTTCATTGATATATATACAAAAATTAATATCAGGAACTGTATTTATCAAACATTATACTGGGCAAGTAAAAATTGTTTCTGGGCAAATGAAATGTGAAAGTCACTTGCCCAAAGGGCAAGTGGTAAAAACCCTTAACATCAATCTCTGTAAGCAATAAAAAGTTCTACTGGATTTACTTTGTCTTTTTCCTGCTTCACAAAGATAGGCAGCAGCTTGACAAAACCATGATGGCAATTATTTTACATCCAAGTATTATGCAGTTCTTCATATTTACACACATACATCAATTTCAAAGAGATGGTATCGGTATCGGCCAATACTGCACAGCCAGGTATCGGGTATCGGTATCAAGGCCAAAAAATGGCATCAGTGCAACACTAGTTCTTAGCCAAC